TTATTTATTTATTTATTTATTTATTTATGGTACCAGGGATTGAACTCAGGTCCTTGTGCTTGCGTAGCAGGCGGTGAAACCACTGAGCTAAATCCCCGGCCCTATGCTATTTATTTATTGAGCCAGGGTTGGGCTATGTAGCCCAGGCTGGCCTGTAACTCATGGCTGTCTTCCTGGTTCAGCCTCCAGAGTGCTGAGATTCCAGGTGTGGAATCTGGGTGGCTCGGGAAATGCATTTTTGTCAAAGGTTATCAGAAGTCATACTGTCAGTGGCAGGTGGCACCAGGGACATTAAGCCGCAATGGCCATGTGAGAGCTACTCATCTCAGGATATGACCCGTGGACAGCCTGGGACAGGTGGAGCAGGGTCAGCTGCCCACAGCAGGCAGAGTGGAGTGGGTGGGAGGTCTGTCCGGAGGAGGTGATGAGAGAAAGGCTCAGGGCAGAGCTGGGTGTAGCTCACGAGCTGGCAGACCAGGGTGGGGGATTTCGAAGCTGGGGTTAGGGGCCCAGAGGCTGGACTTCAGTTGCTGGCAGAAGTAAAGAGACTGAGATTTGATGCTTTATTAATATTTCCCCCAGAAATCTGGATATTGCCAACCTTTTAATTTAGCCGAGAGAGGCAATTCAAACAGCACAAACCCACCAGGCATGGCAATGCACCCCTATAATCCCAGCACTCGGGAGGCTGAGGCATGAGGATCCCTGAGAGTTTGTAGCCAGCCTGGGCTACATAATGAGTTCAAGGACAGCCCGAACTACATAGTCTCAAAAAACACAAACAGAGAGAATGCTATAAAGACTGGGCCGAGCCGGGGATTTAGCTCTGTGGTTCGGCTGCCTGCCCCAGTACAAAAAAAACAAAAAAAGACTGGGCCGAACTGGTTCTCCTCCTCTTTGGTGGTTTGGCCCTTCTGGGTCATCCAGCTTGGGAAGAGAAAAGTACCCCCCTGGGCATGCTGTGAGGCCCACTTGGTCAGACCAGACTCAGGAGGGAAGGTCAGCCCCTCAGCCTCCTTGTTTTCAGAGGTGCCCCCTTACCCCTGTACTGGGGATTGAACCCAGGCCCTTTGCACTGAGCTATCCCAGCCCTTTTTATGTTTTAATTTTAGAGAGGGTCTTGCTAGTTGTTCCGTTGTCCAGGCTGGGCTCAAACTTGTAATCCTACTGCCTCAGCCTTCCAGAGTGCTGGGATTACAGGTTGTCATTAGAGGTGTAACTCTTTGGTCTCCCTCGATCTGCTGGGGTTCTGTCCCCCATGCTGCTCCCACATCTGCTCCCAAACCAGTGAGTTCTCCTCCCTGGTGACACAAGGCTGCCCTGTGTGTGTGGCCATCCTTCCTTTACTGATCTTTGTTTTGCTACTGCAAGAAACTGGCCTTGAACTTACTGGGCTGAAGCCTAAGGTTGCTTAAGCGAAAGGGAACAAGAAAGGGAAAAACAAAGAATCACAAAACTCTCTCCAAAAAATCATTTTTAATGAATTGATTTAGAGCCCGTGATGAAATTTCCCCTAATCAGAGTGCAGACACAGATGGTGGGAGAGCTCTCAGGCCCGTGGTCGGCTCAGAGGTCTGAAAACCCTGTGGGTCAGCTGGGCTTGGAGACCATGCCTGGAATCCCAGCTCTCTGAGAGGAGAGGCAGGATGACCTCAAGTTAGAGCCCAGCCTGGGCAACCTGAGCCCTTAACAAGACCCTGTCTCAAAATTAAAAGTAAAAATGGTCTGGGGATGTAGCTCAGTGCAAAAGCCCTACGTTCAGTCCCCAGTACTTCAGAAAAAAAAAAGAAACAAAGAAAGGAGGGCTGGGGATGTAGCTCAGTGGTACCTCGACTGCCTGGCAAGTGCAAGATCCCGAGTTTGATTCCCAGTATAAAAAAAAAGAAAGAAAAAGAAAACTTGGGCTACTAAATGCCCTCAGTGCAGCATTCCTTGGGTGGCCACTAAGCCTATGGGCATCAGGACTGCGCCCGGTCCCCAGGGTGAGGCTTTCAAACTTGCTGCTTTCAGTGGCAGAATTGTTTCTGCCTTTCTGGTCAAGGTGAGAGGAGGTGGGACGAATTCTGACTCCGGAGTCCAGAGGTCTGAGCATAGTCTTGGCTGCACCTCTGATGGGGCAAATTCCCTAATTTATCTGAGTAAGATTTTCCTGAGTCAGTCTGTAAGGTTCAATGAGTCTACATACGTTTATTTAGTTGTAATTATAAATCTAGAACCAGGCATGGTGGCGCATGCCTGTAGTCCAAGCACTCTGGGAGGCTGAGGCAGGGAGGATTGATTCCAAGTTGGACCCCAGCCTTGGCAACTTAGTGACTTAGCAAAACTCTGCCTCAAAATAAAAAATAAAAAGGGGCCATGGGTGTAGCTCAGTGTGAAGGCCCTGGATTTAATCCCCAGTGCCTCAAAAGCAAATAGTTGAATGCATATTCACTGTGAAAAAGAGAAGACGGTGGAGAAATACAAAATCTTCCTCACGGCCACTGTCCCCTCTGGATATCACCAGTCAGGCGAGTGGCTGTGTGACAGGAACCTGTCGCCAGGTACGCAGGGTCCCCAGCTCCCAGGTACATTCCATCTGGCTATCTGGCTATTTGTCTATCTATCATCTAGTTTTAGATGTACTCACCTTTTCCTCAGAGATAAAGAAAAAGCAGGGCCGGGGATTTAGCTCAGTGGTTCCAGCGCCTGTCTTGCAAGCACAAGGTCCTGAGTTCGATCCCCAGCACCAAAAAAAAAAAAAAAGAAAAAGCATGGAGCTGGCTCCATTAGACCTGAGAACCAATTCTACAAAACTGCACTAAGCTCTGCCAACGTGCTGGTAGATTCAATTATGCTGGGGTGGGAGAAACTGGCAAATCCTCTGGGCCTAGTGGCACACGCCTGTCATCCCTGCACTCGGGAAGCTGAGGCAGGAGGATCCCTGGGAGTTCAAGGCCAGCCTGGACTATGTAATGAGACCCTGTCTCAAAACAAACAAACGACACAAAACAACAACAAAAATCATCAACATCCCCCCTAAAAAAACCCAGGAGGAGGACAGCGGGCCCTGTGACTCACTCCCAGGGAGCCCGGAACAACTGTGCAGTCTGGGGTACAGTAGGGCCCCTCCCTGCACCTTCCCCAACTCCTGGTCCCCAGTGCTGGGGACAGATAGCAACTAGAGTTAGTGACCAGTCAGGATTCGAGGTCTTTTTCCTCCCTAGATGAGGAAGGGATGGGACAGATCAGATTCAGGTGAGGCTGAGCAGATTGATAACGCAGAGACTTTGAGGAGACTCTGAAGCACATCTAATTTTCTTAGCCAAACAAAATAATCCCAAACCCCAAAATATGACTGGAGGAAAACAAGAAAATAAGCAAAGGTTACCAACAGGATAAAATGTTGGTTCATGCCTGAGAGTTAGGCGTTAGATATGGCAGGTACGTAAATGTGAAAGGTCAGATGGATTCAGCTGGAATTGGACTCTCCTGAAGTCATCACATTGCTCTGAATGTTTCTGTTTTCTTCGCTAGACTATAAGGGGCCATAAATGACTCATCTTTGGGTGCCAGGCGCCTTCCCTGGGGTTTACACAGGGCCAGTACTCAGGGGAAGCTGAGTTCAGAATCCCAAATCTGATCCCAAAGAGTGGGATGGGAAATAGGAACCAATAAGTACCATTGTTTTTGTTTCTGTTTTTGCTTTTTTGAAGTACTGGGAATGAACCCAGGGCCTTCACACTAAGCTATATCCTTAGCCCCTTTTTTTTCACTTTTTGTTTGTTTTTGGAGACAGGGTCTTGCCATGTAATCCAGGCTGGCCTTGAACTCACTATGCACTACAGGCTGGCCTCAAATTCATGGAGATCATCCTGCCTCAGCCTCCCAAATGCTGGGATTACAGTTATGCACCATCACATCAGGCAAAGGTATTGGATTTTATGAGATACTTTTTTTCTGTGCATCAGTTGGATTGATCCCCCTAACCCCTTTGCTTTATTAATATAGTGAATTGCATTAGCAGAAATCTTCTGTTAAATCCTCCGGGCCTGGTGGCACACACCTGGAATCCTAGCACCCCAGAGGCTGGGGTAGGAGGATCACTGGGAGTTCAAGGGCAGCCTGGGCTACATAGTGAGACTTTGTCTCAAAATACAAACACACAAGAAAGATGTTTTTAAGGAACAAATATTCCTCTGATTATTGTCTCATCTGCATTCCAGAGTATTTAGTAATTACTGCCCACATTGGCATTGCCCTGAACCAATGTTTAGTTTTGACATCCTGCTTAACTACATATGATATGTAATTTCACTTTCACTTTCCTCTTCAGCATAAGAGCTTTTTTTTGGTACTGGGGATCAAACTCAGGACCTTGTGTGTGCAAGGCAGGCACCGGAACCACTGAGCTAAATCCCCGGCCCCTATATTAGCTAAATCTTTAATTTTTTTTTTTTTTTTTTGGTACTGAGGACAAATCTTTACTTTTAGTCAAATAAATCAGTGCTCCATCCCCACTCCTTCAGTTAATTCTTTCCTGTTCTTGCCATTCTTAAATCTTGTTAACTCTTGCAATTCCTGTGTTGATCAACATCCGAGTTTCTTGCAGCTATTCTAGGTCATTTAATTCTTTCATTTTTTTCTGTGTGTGCTAATGGGATTGAGCCAAGGGTATTTGGACATTCTTCTCAACTGGCCCTGGAATGGCATTTAAATCACCTATGTAGTGCCCTGTAGTCCCAGCACTCAGGATGCAGAGGCAGGAGGATCCCTGTGAGTTCAAGGCCAGCTTGGACTACAAAGTGGGTTCAAGGTCAAGCTTTTAAAATTTCTTTTTGAATTTGTTTCTCCATTTTGAGACAGGGTCTCACTAATTTCCCTGGCTCTCAACATCTTCCCATAGGTCAGAGGCAAAATTCCAAATTCCCTAGCACGAGGCCTTTGGTCACCCGGCTCCCAGCCCCTGCCCACGTCCTCCGCTCTGAACCCCACCTGCCAGCCTGGCCTGCTCACCCAATCACAGAGGCTGGGCTCTGTGTGGCCGTGGCTGGGCTGGAGGTGTCACTCAGCAGCAGAGCTCTTACCTTTCATGCATAAGGCCCTGGATTCAATACCCAGAGCCACAAAGAAAGTAGAAGACTCTCTGGATGAGATGGAGAAGCAGTTTGCAGGTAGAAATGACAGCTAGGGACACCGTGCCAGACAGAAGAGAGCTGTACTGATACTTCCAGGGTTTTCTTGGTTGAACCGGAACTTGAATGTCTGCTGTTGCTAAGAAGGAAGAGGGTAATCATTGCTTCTATTTATTACTCCAGGGACCATCCTGGCTAACATCTGCAGAGCAGGACTGCAGTACAGATGCTCCCATTCCAAGTTCTTATGCTGCCCTGGAGCTGAGTGAGTGAGGGTAGTCCCTGCTGGAAGAGCTCAGGTTGACACAATGCCACGCAATCTTAGAAGTCACAGGGGACAGCTGAAGTAGTCACCAGTAAACACCCTGAAATGTGCTAGAAAGGTGGAGGATCATTAGTGCTGTTTTGTTTTGGCCTTTGTAAGAAACACAATTCATTGGCAGGCCTGGTGGTGCACACCTGTGATCCCAGCACACGGGAGGCTGAGGCAGGAGGATCGCATGTCTGAGTAATTTAGTGACTCATCGAGTGGGGAAAAGGGGGGATGTAGCTCACTGGAAAGGTCTTGGCTTTGACTCTCCACCCCAAAAGAAAAGACAAATGTTTTATGTCAGGGGAAATCAGGAATAATGTAATGTTAAGTGAACCGCAGGAGACAGAATCAGCTATGTGATGGAAACTCATTCAGAAAGAAATGGAGTGGGACACTTACCATGGATATCACTGTGTGATGACATCAAAGATGATTGCTATTTCCTTCTTTATTCCTATGTGTTCCAAATTTTCTATAATGAGTATATCTAGGTTCTATCATCAGAAAGAAGCCCCAATATTTTATACTAGAAGAAACGTATTTTCTTCTAGTATAAAAATCAACTTCAGGTTTCCTGAAAACCTGTTAATTGGTGCTTTTGCTGGGAAGAGTGTCTGGTGTGAGCCACAGAATGAGGAAAGCGGTTTAAAAAGTGAGCCAGATCTAGGCAGCTGCTACCATTGGTCAAAGCACCTATCTTTGATTAGTTGCATTTTTCATGGTTAGAAAAAGGCTGCTGAAGCTCTTGCCATCCCAGCATTTGTGCCCTCCCATCCCGGGTGCCAGACACCAGCACCAAGGAGCCTGAGGACCTGCCCTGCCCAACCCAGGACTGCCCGGGCACAGGTGGCTGTTTAAGGCTAAACTGGAACGAAGAGCATCACTTGGCCGCACTGGCTGCATTTCAAGTGCTTGGTTATCACGAGGTGCTGCGGGATTGGCAGCACGCCCAGGCACGTTTCCATCTTTGGGACAGGTTCTGGTACACAGGTCTGTTCCAGAGGATTCTGTGCTTGTTCTTGTTGTTTGAGACGGAGTCTCGCTATGAAGCCCAGGCTGGCCTCAAACTTGAGGCCATCCTCCTGCCTCAGCCTCCTGAGTGCTGAGATCACAGGTGTGCGCCACCATGGGCAGCCTCCTCATAGCCTCCTTGATCAGGAACACAAGACAAAGTGGACAGGGCTTGGGAAATGCGTGAGCTTGCTGCAGCGTCTGCCGCAATCAGTGTGTGTATATATAAGTACATTCTATTTTAGTAGGCTGAGCTGCATAATAACATATGTAGCCCATGCTTTAAATGTATTTAAAGTACTCTAATAACATTTGCTCACACGGAACTTTAAATAAATGTTCTTTGTGCTTAGAATGTCGTGAACAGTGTACTGGCTCCTAGAATCTAGGCTAGAATCCCCTGCTGAAATCAAATTCCTCATCTTTTGGCAAATGCAAAACAATTTCAAGATATGGTTTGGCTGGGTGCGGTGGTGCACACCACTCAGGAGGCTGAGGCAGGAGGACCAATGTGAGTTGCAGGCCAGCTTGGGCTACATAATGAGTTCTAAGGTCAGCCTGAACTACATAGTGAGACTCTGTCTCAAAAAAGAAAATAATCAAAGATTCGCTTTGGACTTTGGTTCTTTATGGGGTTTTTTTTTTGGTACTGGGGATTGAACTCGGGACCTTGCACTTGCGAGGCTGGCAGCAGAACCACTGAGCTAAATCCCCAGCCCTGGTTCTTCATGTTAACAGGGAGCAAGTGAGTTACAGGTAGCCCTTTTCCTTCTGGCCCAAGCTGTGTCTTTGAACGACTTGCTGAAAGGTAAATGGGTTTGTTCAACACTATCTGGTTATCTTTTCATTACCAAAGTCTGCCTGGTGGTCTGTCCTGGGGAGTCAGGCCTCCCCTATACCCTTGGGTAGAAGCCCTAGGAAACTGCACTGAGGTTCCTTGGTCACTCGTGCAGGCCTTCCCTTGAGAAATGCTAGGAAAGAATGGTTTCCTGGGCTTTTAATAGCTTGGTGATTAGTTTATACTTCTTAAAATCAAAGATGCATATGCTATAGTTTGTGTAGCATGGCTGTCTAAAAAGAAATGCACAGCGATAACATATTTGCATGTTGCTGCCTTCTTTTTTGGGGGGGGGGGTCGGTCAGGGTTTCACTGTGTAGCCCAGGCTGGTCTTGAACTCACTATGGACCCTAGGCTGGCCTCTTCTAACTTGCAGTGATCCTCCTGCCTCAGCCTCCCGAGTGCTGGGACCACAAGTGTGAGCCACCACGCTTTGCCTGTTGCCTTATTTTCAAATAAAGGTAAAAGGTCAATTCTCTAGAAATGAAATGAACCTTAGTAAAGTACACAGCATGTGACATTCTCCTGTAATCCCAGCTTAGTTTACAAGGAAATAGAATAAGAATTAGAAGATTTAGGACTAATCTCGCTCTGAACTCAAAATTGTGCAAGTGTGAGGTAATAATTCAGCACACTTTTAGGAATCCTACTTTACAATGACACTGGAAGTTGTTCGTTACCAATAACCCTTATCTTCCTGTCCGGCCCCCTCTAGTGTTGCTGAGAGAGGCAAGGCTATCTCCTGCTGCCTCCTGAGTGCTGGGATGATAGGCTGCCACACCAGATGTCATCAAATTTTATTTTATTTATTTATTTACTTATTTATTTTGAGACTAGGTCTTGCTCTGTTCTGTAATTCAGGCTGGCCTTGAACTCACTATGGAGCCCAGGCTGGCCTTGAACACCGGGCAATCCTCCTGCTTCAGCCTCTTGAGTGCTGGGCTCCCAGGCCTGCGCCACCACACCCAGCATGTCATCAAATTTTACATGTGGATTTTTTTTTAAATGAAAGGGATATTACAGCTAGGCATGGTGGCGCATGCCTGTAATCCCAACACTTAGGAGGCTGAGGCAGAAGGATCACTGTGAATTCGAGGCCAGCCTGGGTTACATGTTGAGTTCAAGGCCAGGTGGAATTACAAAGCATGACCCTGTCTCAAAAAAAAGGGGGGGGATATATTACAGATGATCTAACTCATTTTTTTTTTTATAAAAAGAAAACTAAAAGTTGCTAGAAACTGAGATGAAACTCAGATCTCCTGACACACACACTTCGGTACTTTTTCCGGCCTGTCCCAGGGCCGCAGTGTGAGCATGTGCACCCCTGCGCTCGCTCGTGCATGTGGATATGCGTGGGCGCGCATGTGTGTTTATATTGGGCTCAGCACCCTCTTAAGTCCCTCAGCTGAGTAGCAAAAACTCATACATTTTTGACATCTAGATTTCTGACTTAGAAATTCAATGTACTGTTACGGATATTTAATTAGCATCTACCACATAAACTGTGCCATATTTTATTCCTGGGATTACAGATCGGAGAACATTCAGAAAAGCCAATTCGTGCCTTTCTTTAGAGAATTCTTTAAAAGTACAGATAAGGTTGACAGAATTATGATTCATCTATTTTTAGTTAAGACATTTTCATCTCAGTCAAGTCTAATATGCTCCCCTAATTATAGTGATATATTTTCTAAATTACAAATCCAGACACATGGATCAACACATGGCCCTGTAAGTCTGTGTGTTTGGTACAGAAACATTATTTGGCTAATGGAAAGAAATTATGCTTCGGGGCACACGAAAAATGTAGCGTTTCTCTTGCTAAGCCATTCCCAAAATATCGTACCTAGTTTCTTGCCATTTCTGCGCTTAATTAATTATAAAATTTAAAATAATTCATGTTTATTACAAATAGAATGTTCATTATAGAACACCAAAACCTCAGTACAAATAATTTATAAAATATTTCGATGCAAATGAAGGGATCTTTTCATTTAAAATGCTCATATTTTCACAATTCAATCCTACTTTCTGTCTGCAACTAAAAAAAAAAAAAGAGAAACCCAAGTACTAAAAATAAACCGGAATTTAAAGTCACTGAGTAAAACTCCTATGTTCTTTAAAAAAAAAAAGACTGCCCGAGCATTACGAATCTGTACAATAAACACGAAATCGGTCACTTGACCATGCCCACCCTCAGCCCCTCCACGGATCCATGCCCCCTACCCTCTCCCACACTTTTTTAGAAATATCCTTTCTGAATGTAGTTTTCTTTAGCAGGGAAGGCGACAGGGCCCGGGTCTCAGGACTCGAGACTCGGTCGGGGCAAGGAGGCGACCTCCTGATTTTGCGTCCTCGGGGCTGAGGCGAGATCTACAAGGCCTGCCCTGACCCCCACCGCGCGCTGAGCTGCAGTCGAAGCAGCTCGGGGCAGGTTAAGTACCAGGCCTCCGCGTCAGGAGGGGAGGCGGCGCCCAGCCGGTGTTTTTCCAGGAAGCGCTCCTGGAGAGCCGAGGACCGGGACGGGGAAGGGGAGGCCTGCGACGGCCACTCCATTCATCGCCCCGCCCCGGACTTCTCCCCTGTTGCCAGCCCAAAGTTTGACGTCCGTCTCCAGGATACCAGGCAACCAATCCCGTGGCCGCCAGGGGACTGGCGCGACCAATCAGACGCCGTTGCTACCTGTGAGTAATATTTTTAGCCGTAACCGACGCCCGATTCCACTCCCACTGTAGCTCCGGGTGTTTGCGTCGCAGGTTGGGGGAAAGGCACAGAGTTACCCGTCCCCTCGGAGTCCCTCCTTTCCCCACTCCCCAGGTACCCGCACGTCGCGCAGCCCCGAATTCTCTTACACCCGCACCCCAGGAAGGCTCTGTGTCACAGAGAGCCCTGAAATGCAAGCACGCAGGCCTCTGGAGACGCGCGCGCGCATGTGCCATCGCGTCATCGAGGCCCGAGCTGCGACTTGTGAATACAATGTGATGCTTCGGTCTCCGAGCTGCCGTCGGTGGCGGGGAGGCAGTTAAACTGTCACCTGGCGGGAGGTGGGCGAGGCGGCCTCCCTTCCCCGCCGGGCCCGCAGCTGCCCCCGGCTGGCGGCGGTTGACCTCGGCCCTGCGGGGAGTCACATTCGGTGAGCCGGGCGCACGAGTCCGGGTCACAGTCCGCCCTTCACTGCACTTCCCCGGGGCGGGCCAGAGACCGGCTTGGTAGCTCGTCCACGAGTGGGCTTTTCCTGGGCCACGTCTCGGGTCGGGCATGTTTTGTCGCCTTTCCCGTCCCGCTCGGGGCCTTGGCCTCTCCGCCCAGTTCCCCCCCGCCCCCGCCGCCGCTCTGCCACCCGCTCTGCTCCCCTCCCCCTGTCTCCCCGGCGCTCTCCACCCAGAAGGGTCAGGTTCCGCCTCTCCCCTCCGTCCCACTGTCACGTCTGTCCTCCAACCCCTTTCCAAATCTTCTAATCCCGCCCACAGTCCCTCCAAACCGTGGAATTATTGGCCATCTCGGAGCACTGGGGTGTGATCTGTTCCATCCAGCTCGGCACCGCCTGGCAAGACGTGGGCAGGCGGGACTTGGCCAATGGCGTCGAGGGGCGGGCCGGCGCAGGCCCTGGGTGTGGAGCTGGGAGGGCGGGGAAAGGTTTCGCAGTCCCGAGCTGTGTGACGCGAGCGGGAGCGCGCACCCCCACGGAGAGGGAGGGGGGAAACAGGGAGGAGACTATAAAAGGAGAGGCGGGGCGCGCGCCGCAGCAGAAGGAGTGAAGCTCTGGCCCGGCGCAGTAGCACGCGGTACGGGGACGCTGGGCCGGGCACCCGGCTGTGTGAAGAAGTGAGCGCGCTCGCCTGACCCCGTCCCCGCCGCCCAAGCCAGCGCTCCCGAGGCCCGCCCAGGCCCCGTTCGCGTTCGCGTCCCCGTCCCCGTCCCCGTCCGCTGCGGCGGCGGCGTCACGCACTCGGCCACCCGGCCGCCCTAACCCTCCACGCCCTCGCCCCCGCCCCCGCCGGCCGCGGCCCAGAAGCAGCCCGTAAGTACCGCGGGGCGGCGGGCACGGAGCGGGCGCGGGCTCCCAGGACCAGGAGGGCAGGCGGGAGGGGCTGCAGTGTCGTCGAGCACGGGGCCTCAGGCACTCGGGCGTCGCGGCACCCGGGACCCGAGGGCTGGATCGATCGTCCCGGGCCGCGGCGAGTGCCAGGAGCTGGGGGTTGGGGCGCCGGGGCGGAGCGGCGGGCTCCCGCAGGGCGCTGGAGTCCGAGCGCCCGATGGCCGCCGGGCCCGAAAATGGTGGCGGGGGACCGGTTCCCGGGGCTCTGGCTGGGTCCCAGGAGGGGGCGGGGAGCGGCAGGTCGGGTTACAGGGGTGGGGTGGGGGGTGACCGGGCTGCGGCCAGCGCCAGACCTGCACGGTGCCCGGTGCCCTCGTTCCCGTGCCGGCTCCGCGGGGGAGCGAGCTCGCACTCCTCCTCCTCCTCCACCACCTCCTCCTCCTCCTCCTCAGTGTCCCAGGTTGGACTTAAACCTGTGATCCTTCTGCCTCAGCCTCCCAGAGTGCTGGGATTGCAAATGTCCTCCACCACCACCTCCTCCTCCTCCACCTCCTCCTCCTCCTTTTCCTCCTCCTCCTTTCTTGCCACCCCAGGGGGATGTAGCTCAGCCACCTGACCTTTAAGATATGAGTACAGCATTTTCCTCTCTGCTTGGGGCATCCTTATTCCTTGTTT